CATCTACCATCGATGGCCACTCTGACTACCATCTACCCTCGACGACCACTCTGACTACCATCTACCATCGATGACCACTCTGACTACCATCTACCCTTGACGACCACTTTGACTACCATCTACCCCGATGACCACTCATATTACCACTTACCCTCAGTGGCCACTCTGACTACCATCTTCCCTCAAGGGCCACTTTGACTACCATCTACCTTCAATGACCAGCTCTCGTTTTATCTGGTTATAAGTCATTCAACATGTGGATTATGACATTTGCTTGTTAAAGTTGATAAGACAAGAGATAAAACTTCATAAAAACATCGTGTGGTGACTTTGTGGTTGTTCCATAGATACTAGAACGCAATAAAGAAACAACGAGTGTGTAGATGGAGGACAACAAATTTACTGAAACTTGAAAGCTTTCAGAAATTTGCAGATTTCTGTAAGTCTGTTGGTAAAAATCTGTTTGAATCACTGCAAAATTGAGTAAACATAATATTATATACACTATTCTAATTCTAAAATACGATTCTTCTCAGGGCACATGCGCTACTTACGTCACTGTTGGTTTTGGTCACTCCAATTTAAACATAAGGGAGGACATTTACTCAAGATATCACCTGATTTACCAATGAAATATATCACTGTCTACCTGCACACAATGTGCTCTACATCACAGCAACCTTTTCCACAAAAAATGAAAGCACACATGATTCCATGGGGGAATGACCTAGAACAATATGTAATTAGAATGAAAGGAACTTAGCCACATTCCTTTACCAATGTCTTACTTTCAAAGCTACCTACACTCGTATCCACGAATATTTTGAAAAATAATTCTAGATGTTTGTTTTTAGACACAAAGCTATGCTTATCACGGGTATCTTAACCCGGTTTTTAGCGTTAAAAGCCTTCAAACTTACTGCTTAGCTACTGGGGGCAATTCTAGACGAACCATAAAAGTTCGATTTACTAAACAAAGGAGGTAGAAAACACGATGATATTTGCATACTACAATTTTACATGAAGTTAATTATACCGCTAGAAACCGGTTTCGATACTTTAACTTTGTGGTTAATTGCAAAACAAACAAACAAACATGAAGTTAAACGCCATGAACTTTTTAAACACGCCAAAAAAGTTTCAATTTACACTACCGCAATTACAAATAAATAAATGTGAAGCTTATGACCCGACTGTAACCAGTTAAATTAATGGTGAAAATAATTTAAAGATAACCTACTTTAATTTTTTGGTTTTTGTAGTTATGCTACACTTGACATTAAATCTATGGAAATGCTCTAAAACTACTCCACGAAGTCATCCTTTTAATGTTTTAGCGATTTTTCTAAATAATTTCCTTATAATAGTAGTTCAAAAGCCACAGTTCTTTCAAGGTTTCGATGCGCATTGTACGTGACTCTGGCTGTTCGTAAACAATGATCTGATATCTCCTGCAGTGTATTTGTTTCTCGGCAGTAAAACATTGAGATCTTTGGCCGGGTAGCTATAGGAAAACAATCTTATTTGTTTAACAACTGTTGATTTAACAGTAATGCAAACTTCCTTTTCTGAAATTTAAAATGGTAAATACATTTTATGCAGTAGTTCCTGTTTAAAAGCAATACGTGACAAACTCATTTAAAACCTTGCATTTTTCTGTAGGTTTTTCTCTGCGGTGATCATCGGGAGGTTTGGCTTCTTGCCAAGATGTTTTTTAACAATGCTGACGCGTCATATCATCAGTCTTGCACACATTTAGGTAAGATGCCATTGTTCTCTACGTTGCTCGGTTCTCCATACATAATTTATTCCAAACACTCAATGTGCGTGAAGTATAGTTAAGTCAATCTGTGTATGAAAAAAAAACACAAAAAAAAAAACACGTCGTCTTTCTGTGTTACAGAGAAATATCAAACAATTATCATATGACTTTGGTAACGTTTTTTTTTACTATAAATCGTGTCATCCTTAACAACGTTTAGCAGCCAATACAGGGT